TGTGTTCTTCATATGTGTTCTTCATGTGTGTTCTTCATGTGTTCTTCATGTGTGTTCTTCATGTGTTCTCGTGTTTTTGTGTTCTGTAGCGTGTCTTCATGTGTCTTCATGTGTTCTTAGCGTGTGTTCTTTCTTATGTGCTTAGTGTTCTTCATGTGTTCATGTCTGAATGTGTTCTTCGTGTTTGTAATGTGTTCTTTGGTTCGTGTGTTCCTTCATGTGTTCTTCGTGTGTTTTTCATGTGTTCTTAGTGTGTTCTTCATGTGTTCTTAGCGTGTATGTGTTCTTAGCGTCATGTGTTCTTCAGTGTTCTTCGTTTCTGTGTTCATGGTTCTTCATGTGTTCTTAGCGTGTTCTCAGTGTGTTCTTGTCTCTCAGATGTCGGAGCGAGTTCTGGATGTGGAGAACGAGGCCATGCTGAAGATCGTGGAGCTGGAGAAACAGCTGATGCAGACCAACAAAGAACTGGAGCAGATCAGGGTCAGTGTCACAACATGGATTCGGTTAGACCTGGTCCTGGTCCTGGTCTGACCCTTGTCCAGTCCTGGTTGAGTCCTGGTCCTGGTCCAGTCCTGGTCCTGGTCTGAGCAGGTCTCTGGTCTGTGTGGTTCCAGGAGGGCTTTGCGAACGCGAACTCTCAGGTTCACACGTTGAGGCGGATCGTTAAAGAAAAGGACCAGACGATTCGGCGCCAGAGCCGCCTGGAGCGCCAGAGCGACCACAGCCCGGCCAATCAGAGAGGAGAAGGAGACGGGGGCGTGTCCGAGTCTTCCCCCACCACACCTGTCGCCCAGGTGAGTCCCTGCTGTGGGCTTAGACCGGGTTTTAGTCCTGGTTCAGTCCTCTTTTAGTCCTGGTCTATAACCGGTCTTGTGTCTTGTGTGTGTTTAGTCCTGAGACCGTGGCCTTTCACACTCTGGGTCCTGCGGAGATGATGCCTCCTCCTCCTCCTCCTCCGCCGCCGCCCCCCGGACCTGCCTGTGGTGAGTTCCTCTGAGTTCTTCTGAGTTCTTCTGAGTTCTGCAGTGTCTCTCAACGAACACGAACCTCCGAGTGGGATGGATAAACAAATGCACCAGAACCAATCAGAACGCTCCAAACTCCTGCATCACACACACTGACTCTGACCTTTAACCATGTTCTAATGTTCTGATGTTCTGATGTTCTAATGTTCTGTGTCTGATGTCTGATGTTCTAATGTTCTGATGTTCTGATGTTTCTCAATGTTCTGATGTTCTGATGTTCTGAGTTCTGGTTCTAATGTTCTGATGTTCTGTGTTCTAATGTTCTGATGTTCTAATGTTCTGATGTTCTGATGTTCTGATGTTCTGATGTTCTGCTGTTCTGATGTTCTCACATTGGAGCTGGAGTTGTGTTGTGTGTCAGTCACATGTTTGACACACAAACGTGCACATTTAGCACAAGTTCTTCTTTCAAACTGTAAACACGGCTTCGGTAGAACCGTGTGGATCATGTGAGTGTTAGAACATGTCTGTGTTCTACAGGAGCTCTAGAGAAAAGTCAGAGAACGACAGAACGTGTAAATAACTCTCTCTCTCTCTCTCTCTCTGTGTGTGTCAGTGTCGAACGGCCCGTACCCGCCCCCTCCGGCCCCGCCCCCTCCTCCCTCTCCCCTGACGCTTCCCCCGGCCCCGCCCCCTCCGCCCTGCAGAACCAGTGAGCTGTCGAGCCACGTCCCCATGGCCCCGCCCCCTCCTCCTGTAGCCCCGCCTCTCCCCGGGACCGGAGCGCCGACCGTCATCTTCAGCTCCGGACTCGCAGGTACTGACCTGAGTTAGATCTGAGTTAGACCTGAGTTAGACCTGGTTTAGACCTGAGTTAGATCTGGTTTTTACACCTGGTTTAGACCTGAGTTAGACCTGAGTTAGACCTGGTTTTTAGACCTGGTTCAGAGGATTTTAACTCTTGCGTGTTGTGTTTTCTTGCAGAGGGACCGCTCAAACTTTTCTGTAAGTTTACACTTTTATAACACTTTCATCACACGCAGGGAGGGACCTGACACACACCGGGAGGGACCTGACACACACAGGAGAGCACCTGACACACTGGGAGGACACTTGACACACACGGGGAGGGACCTGACACACACGGGGAGGGACCTGACACACACTGGGAGGGACCAGACACACGGGGAGGGACCTGACACACACGGGGAGGGACCTGACACACACGGGGAGGGACCTGACACACACGGGGAGGGGAGCCTGACACACACGGGAGGGACTGACACACACGGGGAGGACCTGACACACTGGGAGGGACCTGACACACTGGAGGACCTGACGGGGGGACCTGACCACACAACCTGACACACACGGGGGGCCCCTGACACACACGGGGGGCCCCTGACACACTGGGAGGGCATCTGACTTTTGTGTTGCAGCGGTGAAGATAAAGAAGCCGATCCAGACCAAGTTCCGGATGCCCGTCCTGAACTGGGTCGCCCTGAAGCCGAGTCAGATCAACGGAACGGTGTTCA